ACCTGTCCTGGCTGATTGTCGCCACTTTCTCTGTCAGTTATTATCACCTCTGCAAACACAACACAGACAGATAATAAAAAAAATATATCACTTTCTGAGTCACTTTTACATTTATGTTTTTAAATGCATAATGTTGAGCCAACGGGGGAATTTTTTTCTGATATAAAATAATAATTTGGCTTATTGTCAACATTTGATTGTTTACACACTCCTTTGATCCAAAAAGCCCAGTTATTGTCATTTTGACCCAGACTCCAGTGCTCAGAGTGGAGCACAAGGTGGAGTCATTTTCTGGATGGTCGAGGGGGGTTTGTCTCAAATCCATACTTAATGCTGTCCTGCGGTTTCCCCCCCTTTTTTATAGGATGTGGGTTGAATTGCTCTCCCACTATCCTGCTTTATGACTCCAGTGCAACTCCACAGCATCTCATTTACTGTAAGTAATCTGTTTGTTGAATACAGGCAGTAAGGATCTAAATCAGCTCTCTAATCTGAGTAGATTTAGGTTTATTTATACTTTATTACAGTTTCTATCTGAATTCAAGTTTTATTAGAATAATCTGATCCAGAATTAGGTTATATTTGGTTTGTAAATACTTTATATCACAACCTGTTCATGTCTGTTTTTACTTCATAGTAATAACCTGGTTTGTTCCTCAGCAAAATATTTCTATTTCAACATAAAAAAAGGCATGAATAGTTCTTGAACTATTTCTATTCTCCCTTCTCCATGTATTTACAGTCCATCGCGTAAGGGGCGGACCAGAGACCCTCCTCTAATGAAAGGGTTGCTTAGAAGCGCTCTGCTATTTAAGTGTCAGCCGAGGCCTTCAGAGAGGAGTTTTGTTCCCATTTAGTCAGAGTCCTCCATTGTACGTTAAACCAGATCCAGTTGCTAGGAGCTCAGCTATTCAGTGTAGTGTGTACAGTACAGAGGAACAGAGCTGCTTTCACCTCTAGACCAGATCTGATCCAGGGTCTGTGAATGGAGCAAACTGATGGATGCTCCAAACTCATTCATCCAGAAAAATGATCATGGATTTTTATTTACATGGTAAAACTTTAGGCAAATAGATCTAATTCACGTAGCAGGACTTTGTTTAAACAGCTCAACAGATAAACTGTAGTACATTAAATATCTTTATGCTGGATGTAGTTTAGTGTGCCCAAACAGAGTTGCCATTCTCACTATTTAGGATGTAGCCGTTGCCTTTAATTCACAGTGATTCATAAGCAGAGGCATAAAGTTTACTCAAACATATGTAAGTTAGAGTAGAGCAGCACTACTTTAACATTTTCTTACTCATGTAAAAGTAGAAAGTTGTTGTCCAAGGAATAACTCTATTTGGTTGAATGTATACTCTGTATAAATGTAATCTAAATAAATGTAATCTGACAAACAGTGAAGAGTAAATTCTGGTATTTAAAAGTATAAAATAAAATAGAAAATAATAAGAATAAATTCATTATTTTTGATTATTCATTATTTATTATTAATTCCGTGCAATTACATGCATTGGATCGCACAAGTTAATGCAAGTTCATCGATTTGAACTAATGAGTCATAAGAAAAAGTAGCAAAAAAAAAAAAAAAAAACAGGCCTGAAAGGGAGTGGGAAGTAGAAAAGTTATTAAATCCCGATGCTTATTCACAGTAAACATATATATATTTATTGGCTACGTTTTTCTTTTCTGTTTTTATTATCATTATTATTATTTTTTTATTATTTTTATGGCAACTTAGAGCACAAATTGAAAGGTCAAAAGCAGGCAAAATCACAATTGTGTTAACCGAGCATATAATTAATCACATTGTATCTTTTTATTTTTTATAATACCAGCAATGATTAATACAGAAAAATGGTAATAGTTTACACAGTATCAACAATAGTAAATAAAACTAACAAACAATGGTAATGGATAAATACCAGCAATGGTAATAAGCACACATTGACCTAATATACATTTATGATTACATGATTACAAAATTACCAATAGGGGCTAAAAAAAACATTTTACCAAACATTTTTCTCAGCATAAACTTATAATTACAAATCTTTCCAGCGTATCAGGAGAGGTTAAAGAACTTCCAGTGACAATATCTGCTAGATATAGATCTATATATCAGTCAGCAAATATTTTTTCTATTGCTTATTCATGCATGTTTTGTCCGACTCATTAGTGTATCCAGCAACCACCTTTATTATGGTTTTCTTTGTGTAAATGTAAAATATAAATGTTGTTTTTGTTTGTGTGTTTGTTTTTATTTTTTAGGTTTAAATTAAGGCATAATTTTTTCGTTTTTTATCATAGAAAATGGAGGAAGAAAAACATTAATTATCTGCATCACCCTTAATAAACTTGCACCGGCCAATCTCTAATATCTACGGTTTACTTTGTTCTAATCTAGTCTCTGAATATTTCTATATTGCAAGTCAGCTGGTTCATGATCACTAAGTTACTCATGGTGGACAGAGCATCCAGAAACTTAACTCAAGTAAAAGAAGGGACTTTAAATTAGATTGTTAATTTAGTAAAAGGAAAAAGTACAATAAAGTAAAACTACTTCTAAAAGTACATTTTATCTTAAAGTTATCCAAGTAATTATAACTAGTTAATGACCATTTCTTCAAAAGCAGTTCTAACAATTTATTATACCTTACTAAAGATTTAAATAGTTTTACTTCCCTATAAACAAATAAAATAAATAATTTTGCTGATATGTATTTATTTTTCATTATAATCCTGAAAATGATCATTTGGTTTAAGGAACAGGTTAAAAAAAAACAGAGGCCCTAATAAAACCGTATTTAATAGATGTTTTAAGATGATTCTGTAATTTTATTAATCTTCATTAAATTATATTTAATAATCATTTTGGGGAGTGTTTGCCTAGTGGTTAGAACGTTGCACTTATGCTCTGAAAAGGTTGCAAGTACCGGATTCAATCCCCACAGACTCTCTCTGAGCAAGACCCTTTACCCCTCACTGCTCCCCAAAAGGATGGGTTAAATGCAGAGGTAAATGTGAGATCAATAAAGTTCTATTATTATTTTTATTAATTTCCAAAAACTAACTGATTATGTTTGATGAAAATGCAATACTAGCAGCTAGTTTTCAACTTATTAACATTTTTTTTTAGCTTTGTCGCTTGGCAGATTAAATTACAATGTTTGTTCAGTGATTAGTTGCTGGAATGTCATCTCTTTAGTAGAGGCATTACAAATAAACAAACCAATCTTGTTCTTTCACTAGTGGCAGTGGTTTAGGTCCCACCCCTTGTAGGGAACGCCAACTTTAGCTCCTCCCCCCATAAAGAGCAGCCATGTCTCAGGTCCCTGTGGCCTTTCATTCAGGGACGACAGTCAGAATTAAAGCCAGCAGTGAAGGACAACAGCTGTGACACTGATTTCATAACAGCTAAAAAAAAAACATAAAAATTCAAACATTAACGGTGGATTTCTTCTGTGAAAGGACCCTTCAAAAGTCATATGTTGAAATTAAAGCTGTATACCTCAGCTTCTTTTTCTTAATGTCAGAAAGGATTCCTGACTTTGTTGAAGATTTTGGAAGTAGCCTCTCTCCCCTCCCAGACTGATTTGCAGCTCCATGTCTTTTCCCTTTGAAATTTTGTTAAGCACCAGATAAATGCCTCAAAAATCAAACTTTTAGGGAGGCACTCAAAGATGCCTCCATCAACTACTATTGGCCCCCATATTAAGAACATACGCTGCACTGAAAAAAATCAAAACAAAGCAAGTCTATTTTTCTTGAATTAAATCTATTTATCATAAGGCAATTTGCCAATGCAATAAGTTGATTTCCATAAAAAGAAAAAAACTCCATTATCTTATTTCAACTGTATCATAACTTCTTATAAGATTAACAATATTCATTCATATAGTTGATTATTTTATTTCGCTGCTTAAATTTAGCGGCCCAAATGAGTTTCCTCCCCTAAAATACCAAACAATGTGCTCCATCCCTGTTTTTTGCTTTCTTTTCTTCTGTGCTCTCCCTGGCCCCCCTGGTAAACCTTCTTCTAGGACCGCCACTGATGTTCAGATTTATTATCATCTAAACCTGCAGAGTAATTGTAGACATTTTCTTGATCTCTTTACCTTAAAAAGCATGGTACTGTACTATAAAACTTATAAATAAAAGAAAAAACATATTTTTAGTTGAATTTTTAATACATAGTCGATTGGATTGTTGGGAATATTTAAAGATATTAAAGCCTTAAGTTATGAAGTCTTCACCTACGTTTAAACTCTGTGTATTAAAGAGTTCCTTTGTGTGAGTCTGTTGGGACATATAACTCATCACTTGACATATTAGCTTTCATTGTCATGGTTACGGTACCATATGGACTTGTCTGTACAGGAATGCAGATGCCCTGCTTAACTCTCAGCTCGGTTACAAAATAAAATGAGTTGCAAGGACAAAAAAAAATAAGGATTTGAGGTAATCATTCTGCTAGTGTGAAATATTTGCCAAGCAGAAATGTACCTGTTAGCATGAGTACATGGCTGAGTAAACACAAGTCACAAAAACAGTTTCCCATAGCCTGCAGGCAGTGTTCTTCAATGTGAGCCACTCCCAAGAGGCTGGGAGGCGGCCTGGAAGACGGGCCTGCCTCCAGAACCTCAAGCCCACACAGGTGAACTGCTGCTGGGCTGGAATGCAGCAGGCAGGAGGAGGCGGAGGGGGGGGTTTGACACATTGAGGTGTGGAGCAGCAGGGTGGGAAACAGAGAAAGGGAGGTAACACAGCAGCTTACCTGGACAGGGAAGGGTGTGTGTGTGTGTGTGTGTGTGTGTGTGTGTGTGTGTGTGTGTGTGTGTGTGTGTGTGTGTGTGTGTGTGTGTGTGTGTGTGAGTGTGTGTGTGTGTGTGTGTGTGTGTGTGTGTGTGTGTGTGTGTGTGTGTGTGTGTGTGTGTGTGTGTGTGTGTGGGTGTGTGGGTGTGTGTGTGCGCAGCAGCAAAAAGGATCCACTCCCAGAGCTTCCTCTGACATTCCCTCTGAGTCTCTGTGGCTCTCAGATCTCCCCCTCAGACTCTTGGACATAAACTCCTCACTGAGCTTAAGAGCAGAGAAGTAAATGTTTGACCATAGTGCACCTAACAGCAGAGGAACAGAAAAGCAAAGGGAGAAGAACTGGAACTTTTCTTTTACTTTTTAAGGGGACTTTGAACTTGGACAAAAGGACAAAGATTTTTATATAAGCCAGGTGGACATCTAGAAAAAGAGGAAATACTTTTTTTCTTTAACATAGTTTTGGACTTTTAGACGTGGACTGGGCGCCTCCACTCTCCAGAGGTTTGTTTGATCAGTAATCCTTTGTTTTCACCCATAACTTTCCTAATAACTCCTTTGTTTTCGTCAACTTCACTTCTAAGTGTTGCAAAAGTGTCTGTATGGTGGAGCCTTTGGGGCGAGGCGAGCGAAGGCTGTAAAGCAACAGGTTTATGACTTTATATCACTCTACACGGATAAGGTGGTACGGGGCCTTAAGGAGGATCTCGTATGAGGGGCCCCACCTTTAGTTAAAGGTGTTACCCATCAGCCACCTCTTCTTGTTGGGTGTTTGACTTTTCAATGTGATTTTATTATAAATCAACAATCAAATAAAAAAGATTGCTTTTTGGGTTCATTTTCTTTAGATAATAATGACGCAACCATGTCTCGTATGGAGCCAAGTTTAATTCATTGTGCTTTCTACTAAAAGTATGAAATATTTCTTTATATGCTGCAACTTATTTACCTATTTAGCGTGTATATTTTTAATTTCTCGCAGATTTTTTCTAGAATCTGGAGGAACAATGATTCATATCTAAACAGTTTAAATCTATATCCTTTGTAAATAATAAGTTGTGTTTTGAACTTCAGGTGTTTCTGATTTCTTTGGGTCTAACTGGAGCTTCTTACAGGCAGGATGGGATTGTTTTTGTTTTATCTTGAGGAGTACAGTCAACTTTAAAATGGCTGCAGGTTTTACCCTCCCCTAATTTTTTAAGACCCCCCACCATCCCTTTCCCTTTCTCCTGAATGTGATGTCATGTCAGGGTCAAGCCCACACCCACTGGTGGCAAGTCCACCCAAAAGGTATGTTTTTGTGTGAGGAGAAACAGTTGGAGTGCCTCCTTTCCTGCCAGAGAAGCTTTCAGACAAAGAGCAGTGGAATGAGAGGCTGGAGGCTGTAATTTGGCTCCGAAGCGCCGGCTTGTCTGTGATTTTCATCAGAGTGGGAGCAGAATATAAAGAGCTGGTTTCCATGTATTTACTGGTTCATGGCAAAGTTTGCAAAAGAGCAGATTGTTTGTTGACCGTCTTTGCTTGGTGATCTACCTGTAGGGCTTCACATTGAGGCGTAAACCTGCCTGTCCCATTTGCTTCCAGGAGGTGGTTTGACCTCCAGCTGGTCAGTCTCTCGCCTCAGGGAGACATTCCTTCCAGGAGTTACCTTGTTGTCAACACACAAATCATCCATTTGTTTTCCTTCATCCCACTGAGGCAATTACAGGCCTTTACTGACACACAGCAGTCTCTGTTGGCTGTTTGTCTCTCAGATTGTCCTCCATCCAAGATTCCTGCAGGAAATTATAATGTGGTTTTATAGTGAGGAGCACACACTGCACGCTGCCTGGAGCCTCTCCAGATCCCACCCTGCAACGGTCCTTTCCCGACCACACTGCATCGTGTCTCAACTAGATCTGAAATTATATGATGATACCAAAGGATACATGAGGTTAAATGAGGGGGTTTTATCATGGATTTTGGAAAAGGCGTCAATTTATTAAAGCATGCAAACTCCAAATAGATTGAAACAAACAGCATTTGTTGCATTTATAACTTACATTAAACTCCAGAGTGTTTCATTTTACTTATTTATAGTGGAGTTAAAACGAACTGGAAGAGTCACTTTGTTGGTCAGAATTATTCTAAACTTTAAGTTTTTTTTTTACTTTGTTCAACTGTTTCTATAAAAAGTGAAAAGACTTTAAAAAAATACAAAACCTCTTAAAAAGACTGATAAATACAGTTTTTATATCTATATGTCGGTATTAATACTTATCTAAAAATGACATTTTAATAGTATTTATCCCAGTCCAGGCCTGGATTAGTATCAGAAAAAGGAAAATCTACTTTGGGAAAAATGCTTACATTCTAGGGTGCAAACATTTAGAAAATTATAGATCCAAAATGAATAAAAAATTACACTAACTCTGATATCTATTTGAATATTTAACATGTCATGATTTGGTGTGAAATAAAGCCATAGAGGTTTACTAAGCCGAGCTTGGCTGAGGTTTTCCACGTTCAAAATAAGAGACAAATATGGTGGAATAGCCCTTTATCAGACTGGTTCATTAGATACCAGCTTCAGCACTGGGATTTACAGGTAATAAAACCTCACAACCAACACTTCCAGCTTTAAATTCTGTTGAATGTTCTATTATTATATTATAAAACCAATTGTAAAGTGAACTTTTAATGTAATTTTTTACATATGACTCGACATTTGAATCTGAAAATGTCCCATTAGGGGACGTGTTGGCCTGCTAGTTAGAGCAGTGAGCTTGTGCTCTGAGAAGGTTGCAAGTTCAATCCCCACAGCCTTCACTGTGACCCTCTGAGCAAACCCTTAACCCCTGATCGCTCCCTGGGCGTCGCACAATTGCAGCCCACTGATTCCCCAAAGGAATGGGTTAAAATGCAGAGATACATTTCTCCAGTGTAAGATCGGTAAAATCAAATTAAATTATAAAATGTGTTGGAATCAGGAATTGTTGAAGTAGCAGTTAAACTGTTTTATCAAGCTTTTTGTCTGTTTCTGTTGTTTCTTTTCCAGGAGGGAGATGAGGAGTTGGTCGTTACATTTCCTCGCAGGACTCGGTCTTCTGGCCGTCCTGCTGACCTGCTGCTCTGCTGAAGGTGAAAATCAGAAACATCTCTTCTCTTTAATTAGATCCTTCAATGGATAAAATGATATCTTTTTAAATAGATAAACCCCCTCTTCAGTAATTTTGGGAGAAACTGAGAAAAATATTTCTTCACATTTTACTTTCAAATTTTTTCACAATTCAAATAGAAGAGTTTTGAAGTCATTAAATATTTATGTAGCTGACGTCTGACCAGTAGAAGTATTAAAGGTCCTATGAATACCCTTCTTTTGTACTTTGGCTTCCCCCTAGGCCATGCCACCCTGGGTAGAGAGCCCCATTGCTCATATCTAAGTAGCTGAAATGTTCCTCCACAATATTTTGTGCAACCAGGGGTATTCTAGTAATGCTTTATGCAATGAACTCACTCTGTTCCCTTTCTGTGACTCTCCCTGACGGTCCCGGCCCGAACAGTGAACTACTGCCACGCCTTCAGCTCGGGTTCCTGCTCAGAGTGTCTGCAGGCGGGGGTAGACTGCGTATACTGCCCCGACGAGGTGAGAGCAGAGAACTACAGGGAGCTGCTTTCATAACCTTATTGTTCTCAGACTGAAAATAAATATTTTGCATCATATTTACTTTTGACCTTGATTAACCCATTCAATTTCTTTTTGTTGTTTTTCTGCTATTTCACCATGCAGCCATGTTTGTTTACAAGTTATTAGCAGATGATTAAAGAATTAAAATACTAAAAGCATAAAAACTTTTGCTCGTGCTCCCTGTTTATTCAGACGTTTAATTTTCATCGCTGTGACCTCTATAAGAACATCATCGCCCATGGCTGCAATGACAGGTCTGTCATTAGAGCCAAAAGCTTGCAGAAGATAGAGAAAGTAAGTTAATTGTCCAATTTATATAACATTTTAGTATTCTATATATTTTTTATATTTAATGTTTTCTCTTCATCTGTGTTGCAGAAAGATGCAATTAATGTGGCGCTTCAGCAGTCTCAGGTGTCGCCACAGCTGGCAACCATGACCTTTCTGCCTGGAGAATCTAAAGATTTGGACGTGGAGGTGTTTGCTCCGACTAAAGGCCCTCTGGATCTTTACATTCTTATGGACTTCTCAAACTCCATGAAGGACGATTTGGACAACTTAAAGAAAATGGGCAATCAGCTGGGTGAGCAGACTTTGGCTCTGGAGATGTGTAGCCAGTGGCGGTTCTAGACTATATTTATATTTATATTTATATTCATTAGGAGGGCCAGGATGGGGACAGAATGTTTTCATGGGGGCACAGAAGATCATGAAACAAAAAACAGGGAAACAGTTTATTAACAATCTAAAAAAAGAAAATATTTCTCAAATTAAGTATATTTACCCTTAATATCAATAGGTGAATACGATGACTTGCCAATGTACTGCAAAAACAATCTAGGAGTAAATAAAAATTTTCTTAATTTAAGTGTATTTACCCTTAAATTGAGTACGTAAATAAGATGATTAGCCAATTGAATGAGCATTTTTACTATTGAAATAAGATTGTTAGATTATTTGCAGTTGAAATAAGACAATGCCATTGTTTGTTCTTATTTTTTATTTTATTTTTTTAATTTTATTTAATTTTAAAAATGCACCTATTTTAAGAAAAAAATGACTTAATTAGATTTTTTGCAGTGTGGAATGAGTATTTTAACTCTTAAAATAAGATAATTAGAAAAAATGCAGCTGAAATAAAAAAATTGCTTTGTTGTTTTCTTTCCTCCCCAATTCAAGAAAAACAAAATGCACTTATTTAAAAAAAAAGACTTATTTAGATTTCTAATTTCAGTGCATGTCATATAGTTTAAAACAAAATTTCACGTTGTTCCAATTGAAAATTCTAATTTATTAATTTTACTTTCCCTGAAATAAAAACAATCAATTAAAGTGCAGAAAAAATGTAACAGAAATAATTAGATGCAAATTAAATATGTACTAAAAGATGAAAGTAAGCTTTTGAATATTAGGTCAATTTATAATTATAATTCAGGAATATTATATACTTTTGACTTGTTTTAAATGAAAATGACATGTTTTAATCGAATAAGAATTAGAACTGAACTAAACCGATAAATTCTGCTGTAATAAATTGAAGACATTTTTAAAAAATTTGGTTCAAAATAACATTTAGCAGAAACTGGGATTCTATCTCAATATGACTGAAACTATCACCTTCATTTTAGAATCATAATTAAAACAGAAACCTAAAGAAAAAACTCAAGGGGTCCAAGGGAGTTATCAATCACTATGTTTGTTCCCGTGTATATCATCATTAGATTTTTTTTTTAGTATTATGTCTTCAGTACAGGGGCCATAACTGGGACCAGGACCATTTGTATCAGGGCCCCTCTCTCTTGTCCCTGTTGGCCCCTATCTAGAACCGCCCATGTGTGTTGCTATTCCTGTAATTCAATCTTCTTGTCTTGTTTTACCTGAAGCGGAGGTGGTGAAAGAGCTTTCAGACGACTACACCATTGGATTTGGAAAGTTTGTGGACAAAGTAATTGAGCCTCAGACTGACATGAGACCTTCCAAGTAAGGAGAAAAACAGCAGATAGATACAGAAACTTTTCTTGTTTTGGCTTCTTTCTAACTTAAAATTCCTCTTTTGTATCTCAGGCTTAAACAGCCATGGCCCGATAGTGATTCTCCATTCTCCTTCCAAAATGTTATCAAGCTGACAAACAATGTAGATTCCTTCATATCAAAGCTCCAAAACCAGAGGATATCTGGCAACCTGGATGCCCCCGAAGGAGGATTCGATGCCATTCTGCAGGCAGCAGTGTGCGAGGTTAGTAGAGTCCCATGTGAGACATGCATGTCCTGAAGAAAATACAAGCCTGAAACTTCACATTTCCAATCAAATTTATTTTACTTACTTTATTAATTATGTCATTTATTCCAGATTGTAAAGGTAATTAATGGGATTTTAAAGGTATAGTGGAGGATGTTCTTTTTCTGGGTGGATCATCAAAATAAGTGGTCCTCCTAATTGTCAATCATTCTGGTGATGTGTTTATGTAAGGCCGTCCTACGTGCTCGTCCCCATTCTCACTTACCGGTGGTGAGTCTGACATAGTGGAAAAATTGCAAACCTTCTTTTGTAAAGTAAATTGTATGAGCGATGCAAACAGCAACTTTTAAACAGAGCGTGCACAAGGAGAAACTGAAATTTTGATTTTCAAAGTATTTCACTGAGTGCCCTTTGAAGGGTTAAGAGCCTATTATTTAACTAGAAAGTTAAAAAAATAATATATGTTTTATTTTCATAAGGATAATGTCAGGTACTTTTTAATAGATCTGGATATTATAAATTCTGTATCACTTATTTTAGATTGTAAAACATTAATTTGATAAAATTTCATATTTTAAGTTCTTTATTTCTTTTTATTTCATAATTATGGTTAAAAATAACAAAAGCCACAAATTTATTATCCCAGAAATATAGAATATTGTAAAACAGTGAGTTAAAGAAACTCTTGGTTTGACTTTCTAATTAGCTAATTAACCAAAAGTGAGTAATGTGTGTAAATGTTTCCTGAATCTCTAAATGCTCTTGCTGACACAAGTCCTGAAGACGGTCATCAACATTTGGATGAGCTTCGCCAGGGTTGGACCTGTGCTCGAGTCAAAGCCTCGAGATCCACCGGTCACCAATATATCACATCTTTCATGTTGAGTCACTTCTGAACCAAAGAGAGCATCAGAAGTGTCTCACTCAGGCTAAGGAGAACTGGGCTGTTGCTTAGAGATCCAAAGTCTTAATTTTATACAGAAACCAAAGTGTTAGAGTCTACAGGAAAAGTGGAGCAGATCCACATTAAAGGGTGTGAGTGTGGATTCTAGTATGTCATCTGCTGTCAATAATCAACACAGCCACCTAACATGAGATTTTAGAGCACACAATGTTTCCTTCTTCTGAAAATCCCCGTTGGAAATGCTGAAAATGCAGCATCAACCCACACTTCCGAAGCTAGTAAAACCCGGTTCAGTGACCAGTATTATTGGCTGGCAAACCCTGCCCTGACTTAAAACTGATGTATAATCTGCCGCACCTTGACCAGAGAAAGATGAGAGGCACATGACCTAACAATGAAGATGAGCTTAAGGCCACTGTTAAAGCTTTCTGGACTCCCACCAGAGCCCAGCAGAACCAAAGTCTGGCCGTGTGTCACACAACATCGATGCAGTAACCAAGTATTGACAGCGTAGAAGTTCAGAAGTCTGATATTTCAGTTGCTCCATGTAGGTTAATTTATATAAAAGTGATTTTCTAGCATCTCTTTCAATGCCTTACTTTGACTTGGACATTACAAACAGTTTGAGTCATTAAGAGATGGATTACTGGTGTACTTTTGTTCATTATACTTGTGCCAAAGTCAATCTCACTCACAGATTACCGGGCCTTCAAGATGTCTTCAAGATGAAAAAAAAATAGCAGCCATCACAGTCCTAAGAATAGTGGTTTTGTCATTTGAAGAAAATAGATGCATTAGAACTTATTCATCTTTCTAATTTCCTTTTTCCATATATGGTCCTTTCTTTCCTATTCCAGGATCAGATTGGTTGGCGCGAGCGCAGCACTCATCTCTTGGTTTTCTCAACCGAGTCAGCCTTTCATTATGAGAGTGATGGCGCCAACGTGCTGTCTGGTATTCTGCCACGCAACGACGAGCTCTGCCACCTGGACGCAGATGGAAAATACACAGAGGCCACAAAGCAGGATTACCCCTCTATACCCACACTCATCCGTTTGCTGGGGAAACACAATATCATCCCCATATTCGCTGTCACAAACCACTCCTATACTTTCTATGAAGTAAGCAGACTGCAGCTGCTCGCCTTTATAAATGCTTTTCAGTTTAGAGGCTTCAAATGACTAATTTTTTTGTGTTTGCAGAAATTAAAAGAGTATTTCCCCATTGCCGAAATTGGTTTGCTTCAAGAGGATTCATCCAACATCCTGGAGATCATGAGGAATGCCTTTGAGGTAAATGCTTGAAACTCTTAAATTTTGGGAAAAGTAGAAGGAGGTGCCTCATGGCTGATCCCTCGTATTCTTTTTGTTTCAGAGTATCCGCTCTAAGATGAGCATCCGTGCAGAAGACAGGCCAAAGGCTTTTGGTGCCCAGTTTTTTCATCCAAACAATACAGTTGCCGAGTATGGGAGCTTTAACTTCAAGCCTGGACAGATTGTAAGGATTACATAGAATGAAATATAAACATTTCACTTCTTGATCCAGCTGGATTTGAGGTCCAGAAGATCTCATCAGCTGCGTTTACATTAATCATATAAATGCACTTGCATACAGTGGTTTTCCAGCCATTTTGAAATTTATGTGTTTTGCAAAAAGTGCAAAGGAAACTTTTTTTCACATCACACGAGTCATATATTTAACATAGACGGTTTTGCTGACAACACAAAAAAAGACAACTTGAATTAGTAGGAGGAGGATGGCGATGCCTCGTGATTTTGATTAGTTATTGGGTACACAAACATTTTCACACGTGATTTTAATTGCATTTGGTCTTGACAATGATTGCAGAACTGGGTTGTTTTATTTCAACGTCAGCATAATACTGACTGTCTGACTGCGATTTAAACCAGAGAGCAGCTAAACATAATATGTAATACTAAGACAAACTAGCTGGTGATGGAGAAGCATGCTCTGTTTCCTGCATGTAGGGTTTGGTACAACATGTTTACTGGTTGCTTTTTGACACAGCTCTTTGTCAAGTCTAGCATATGAAATCTTTCATAACAATCTTAATCTTTACAGTGTTTCATTGCGATTTTATGTTATAGACTGACACAAACAACATAGCAAAAGATTTTAAGGAAATATGTTTGGGTGTGTGTGTGTGTGTGTGTGTCTCCAGGGCAAGTTTAAGGTGAAGCTCACAGCCCAACAAATGATTGGTGAGACACTTGTCTGCAAAATGGATCCAGATGAAAAAGAAGGTACAATCAGAGTCAAACCAACAACTTTTAATGCAGCGGTCGATGTGAAGGCCTCCATTTTGTGTCCAACCTGTCCATGCGAGAAGGTTAGAGAAACACACTTAAACTGAAGCACATAAAGGTGTCCTTATGCTAATTTTTTGACCTGTTATGCATCAGAATCAGACGGTCTTTTCATGTTTCTGTTTTCAGACAGGTATTCCGAAAGCTGAGAGGTGCAATGGAAATGGAAAGTTGGTGTGCGGGAAATGTCAGTGTGATGATGGCTGGTGAGACTTTAGAGGACTGCATTTTGCCACATGAGACTCCGCCACCCCCTCCTAATGTCCTCACTTTTTCATTTTTTTAGGCAGGGCCCTTTCTGTAACTGCTCAAAAGCCTCTGAGTCAAACAAGAACCAGTGCAAAGGCCCAAACATGAAAGAGCCCTGCTCAGGCCGTGGAGACTGTCAGCCATGTGGAACCTGTGTGTGCTATAATCCAGACCAGTATGAAGGACCCTACTGTGAATATGACAAGACCCAATGTCAACGTTATGGAGGCTTCCTTTGCAATGGTATGTTGAGTTGAAAGGATGCATTAAAGCAGGTTACTCTGACCTTCCCGGAAGTGTTTCTAAAGGTCTCTGGAAATTATCCTCCCTGGATTATCTTCTAATGAAAAGAAAAGTATTTGGATCTGTTTAAATAGGGAGGTAGAATGTGTTTAACCTAAGGAAACAACACAATACCCTGTAAAGATGTTTAAAATGCTTTTGCTTCACTTTTGTCAGATCGTGGTTCTTGCGTGATGGGTCGTTGTTCCTGTTCAGAGGGTTGGGAGGGCGCTGCCTGTGAGTGCGCCAAAAACAATGAAACCTGCTTGGACAGCAATGGGGTGAGCGGAGCTACTGGTTTACGTTCAGACCACGCTCTCCAATATGTGGACGATGCCTTAACCTATCTTTATGTGTTGTAGAACATTTGTGGTGGTCGGGGCGAGTGTGTCTGTGGGAGGTGTAAGTGTCCAGAATCCAAGATGGAAATGTCTTCAACCTGTGAGCTACAAACCTTTGAGGTTGGTCAAGTATGCAGACTAAAATCATAATGTACTGGTTACGGTGTCTTGAATTTGTAGCCTTGTCTGATCATCCTTTTGAATTGTGCGTCTAGTACCAACAAGGCTCATGTGAGATCACAAGGAGTTGTGTCTTGTGTCAAGCATGGAATAAGGGAGAGTTTAAAGACAAAAATTGCGAAGGCTGCTTCAAAGTCGTCATGGTGGATAAGCTGAAGGAAGGTAAGCTCAAACCCTAAGGATTCATCTGTGTCTCCGAAATTAAGATAAGCTTGTTGAAATTTGTGGTCAAATCATCTAATAGTTGTGTACAATAATGTTTTCAGCGGAGGAAGTGCTTCACCACTGCAGTTTCCGAGATGAAGACGATGATTGCACATATCAGTATACTATCGCCGACAGTAAAGGCATGGAAAATGAGGACCTGCTGGTTGAGGTGCTCAAAGAAAGAGGTGAGATGCATGGATCCAAAGTATACAAATCCAGATGACTGCTTAAATGATACACTATTGCAAAATGAAAAGTAGTTGAAACTTGTAAAAGAAAATCCCCTTTCCCTCCCTTTATCATGTTTTGGTGCAAGTGAGCAAAGAAAAGCTGATTCTAAGTCATGTGTTACTACCATGTTTTTCCAGCCGGCATTAGTTCTTAACAAGGTACACTTGGAAAAAAGACAGTTATACCAAACAGTATACTGCTTGGATCCCTCTTGGACAACTTCTAGATATCAGTGGTTCAGTCCAGGTTACTGTCCAGGTGTATTCCAAGTGTATAACTAATTACCGAGTATATATGAACTTACTTCTTCTAAAGTTCATAACCATATCCTTGGTCTTTGTGGAGCAAAGCTAGGTAAAGGTTTTCCTCTGCTTTGTTTCATATCACCAACGAACACAACCACTACTGGATGATCAGAGAATTTCTGTATAAAGTTGCTCTATATGTGTGATGAAAGTTAGGGGCAAAAGGAAAGGGACAGACGTACTTTGGTCTATGTGTCAAACAGTGCAGACTGGATGGTATGGGATGCACTTGAGAAGTGGAAGTACTCACTGTGTTCCAGAAGGTGATACATTGTAGAGGACCAATTTATCCAATCGTAAAAGTCCTGAAATTAGCAAGGACCAGACTCTCTAGATTTAAAATACAGCAAATCAGGACAAACCCTTAGGCCAAAGGGGAAGCACATCAGCGGGTGCCATGATAAGTGCTTTACGAGCAATGCTGGCAGTAAGGAAGAAGGTAGGGAGAGGAAGCAGGATGCTTCCTATCATAGTTCCTTTAACAGAGGAACCTCTTAATGTTCGGGACTTAGGATAAACAGATTCCCACAATGCTGTGCATGATAGGGCATACATTCACCGACCACTTTATTAGGTACACCTTGCTGTTACCAGGTTGGATTAAATCTTAAATCTTCATGGCATAGATTCAACAAGGTACTGGAAGCATTCCTCAGGGAGTGTTGTCCATATTGAGATGGTAATATGAAGCAGTTCCTGCCAATTTGTTGGCTGCACATCCATGATGCGAATCTCCTGTTCTGCTACATAGCAAAGGTGCTCTATTGAATTCAGACCTGTTGACTGCAACAATATTCAGGCTGTGGCTTTGAAAACGGCTTTGAAACGATGCTCAGTTGGTACTGAGGGACCCAATGTGTTCAAGAAAATGCTCCCCACAGCATTACACCACCAGCATCAGCCTGAACCATTAGAACACGGCAGTATGGATCCACGCTTCCATGTGGTTGATGCCCTACCATCAGAATGTCGTGGGAGAAATCCAGACCAGGCAACATTTTTCCAATTTTTTATTGTCCGATTTTGGTGAGCCTGTGAGAATTGTAGTCTCAGATTCACATTCTTAGCTGACAGGAGAGGCACCTTGTGTGGTCTTCTGCTGCTCTAACTCATCCGCCTCAATGTTCAACGTGCTGTGCATTCAGAGATGCTCTTCTGCATACCTCGGTTTTTAATTATTTGAGTTGAATGCTGCCTATCAGCTCAAAACAGTTGGATCAATCTTCACTGACCTCTGGCATCAACAAGGCATTTGTGCCCACATAACTGCTGATCGTAGAATATTTCGTTTGACAATTCTCTGTGTATCCTAGATATGGTTGTACGTGATAATCCCAGTATATAAGCAAATTCTGAAATACTGAGTATTATCCGTCGGGCACCAACAACCATGTCAAGTTCAGAGTAATTTAAATCACCTTTGTCCCACATTCGGATGCTCGGTTTAAATTGCAGATCGTCTTGACCATTTCTACATGCCTAAATGCATTGAGTTGCAGCCATGTTATTGGCTGGTTAGAATAGCTGTACGTGTAATCTGTGTGACACATGTAAAACTTCACCTCCTCATGCATTTTTATACAGTAGAGCTTGAACTGTCCATTCAAAAATGGCCTGACACATTACACAAAATAATGGCCGCATCCTGAAGTAAACACAGTCTTCTTTTTTTTATTTGAAAAATTAATGACAACCCAACTCGGTTAAAGTGCACTCTTTAACTTTAACTTTAACTTTATCTTAAATGTTAAATGTCGGTTCTGATCTGTCATAGTCTCCTAATGTCCCATCACCCCACCCTAAGGTGAGACACTAACAGGACCACATGGTATACATATGTTTCACACTTGATGTATTTTATATTTCTCTTCCAGATTGCCCACCAGCTAGTCTGCTGTGGCTGCTGCCACTCATCCTGTTCCTCCTGCTGCTGCTGGCGCTCCTGCTGCTCTGCTGTTGGAAATACTGTGCCTGCTGCAGCTCATGCTGGCAGGTACAACCGCTCACTACTTGAAATATAAAAGCTTGATTTTTTTCCAAATGATGGTTCAACTAAAGGTTTTTTCATTTTTATTTGATACAGAGCTGTCTGGCCTTGCTGCCATGCTGCAGGAGAGGTAAACATATAGTATGAGATGCAATAGAACTGCCTTAATCCCCTCGTTTTAAACCACCTACCATGTATACTAAGCAACACTTCCTTTTAGGTCGCATGGTCGGCTTCAAGGAGGATGAGTACATTTTCCGTCAGTCTCAGCTGACCTCTAACCATTTGGACACACCGATGGTGAGGACCGGCCCACCTAAAGGAACTGATGTGGTTCGCTGGAAGGTCACGGATAATGTGCACCGTGCGCCCAATCATCCACAAGCGTTGTTACAACCAAACCCAGATGAAATGAGTAAGTCCCATTTGAGATAAACCTCAGCTAATGTTAGTAGTTAGAGCAGTAAAAGCAACTAAATCTTTTTTTTTTTCACCTTTTTTAGTCAACTTCCCAGTCTCCCTCCGATTAAACAGGCTGTTCTCTGAGAACCTGTCTCGCCTTGATTCAAAGGACGCTGAGCTGCTCCGTAAAGAAGCGGCTGACAACGTGAGCTGGGTTTTTATATGCTGCTGGGTGCATATTCTGATGGTGTCTGATCACTGTTTTGTTCTTGGTTACAGTTAAACGAGGTGTACAGGCAGATACCTCAGGCGCAGAAGGTGCAAGATATTTCATTCAGGTATTTTACTTCTCAATGCGACACTCCCTTTTTTGTTTTGTTGTTGTTGTTTTTTTTAAAATGTCTTATCATTTTCTAAACCCGTATTAAAATGAAATATCTTCCCAGTCAAAACTCACATCAATTTTCTTCTCCACAGAACGCAGAAAAATTCTGGAAAAAGGTAAAAGTTCAATCCAGCATATATTTGAGACTGTTTTTTTTTTTATTATTGCTGTAACTAGAGGTGTTTTATCTCTAACATACGTCATCTATGCCCCTCAGGGAGGACTACACCATCTTGGATACTGTGCTGTCAGCTCCCCGCAGATCCTATCCAGATATAGTCAAACTGACTGAGAAGAACGTCCAGTCCGGAAGCTTTGGTGACCTTAAAGTGGTCCCAGGCTACTATACTGTGGCCACAGATCGAGGTGAGTGGCATAAATTCGTAGTCTTGGTACAGTACAAGGGAATGAATTATTTGTAAATCTATATAAAAATATTTCATATTTATTAATGTTTCATTAATCATGTTACATCTGCAAACCAGACATGAACAAAGTGGTGACGAACAAAACTAAAAATGCAGTTTTCAAAATTTGGTATTTGCATCACAGTTCTTTGTAACCAGAGCTTTAAGCTCTTCGTCGTATGTCTTTACCAGGTTTCTTTTATGGAAACATATATTTTGCCTTATTACGAAATGGTTTGGGCCAAGTTGGATTGGCGAAAATCTATAAACTTATAACCCCTTTCTATAATGCATGCATGCATTATAGAAAGGGGTTTTACGTTTTAAAAAACAATGATAATATTGATGTACACAATAAATGTACCGGCATTTGTTTGTCCTGTTTGCCAAAATAATTTTGTGAATCAATGTCCCTGAGCGAGATGACAGCCCAACAGATTTGTATTCACAAGCAGATCATTATGGTTGTTGCCATAAGGTTTCACTTCATACTTATATATGAAAATTTATGATTTAGGGAGTACAATAATATACAACGGACATGCGGTTGGAAAGGAAGGGGATAAGTATTAAGGAGAGAGAGACCAAGATAGAGACAGGAAAGAGGGAGGAGAAAATTAAACCAAGAGAAAACAAAACAACAAAGCAAAACATGACCTGCATGAGGTGAGAGTGACAGAAAACAGAACGAAACAGCAAAAAAGCTTCCAGAGTAGCAGGAAAATGTGTGTGGAAAACGATTTTATATATCTGTTGCTAGAGCTTAGTATTTAGTATTAGTGTGTATGCATGAACACCTGGAACCATATTCTGTGGTATGTATGGGCATGCTTTTTTATGAAGGATTTAGAAAGCTTCTCCAGAAGGAAAATATGCTCAGTAGGAGGTGTGGGTGGCCCCAGACTAGCCCTACAGGGCCAAGGACTGATAAAGAGGCAACGCAAGCCTCAGATATCCACAGGCACCCCAGGTTCCCCCATATCAGCAGTTTTTTGTTAGAAATCTTTCATTTTGTGGCATTAGTACTTGGTACAGAGTTAATTTGATGGTATCAGAGTAAAGGAGGGAGTTATAAATAACCACCAACCTTTCTTTAGATTTATATGAAGAAAATAAGGTTGAAGATATCTAATTTGCCTTTGCTATTCGAAAATGTAGCAGCGTTTTGTGCTAGTCTATAAAAGCCCTATAAAAGTGTTGATTTCTGTTGATGTCTAACGTTGAAAGAACCCCCTGCTCCCCTACAGAGGCTGCAGGAGCTGTGGAGTTCCAGGAGGACGTGGAGTTGGTGGATGTTCATGTGCCACTGTTTGCCAAGGATGATGACGACGACAAGAAGCAGCTGCTGGTGGAGGCTAGGGATGTGCCGTTGGGCATCGCAGAGATTGCAAAGCGCTATGTTAACATAACCATCATCAAAGACCACGGTGCGTTATATATGTTATTTATACAAATCATTCGTAATGGAATAAAAATGAAATGTGAATACAATCACTACTGCATAGAGTTAATTGAATCTCCCCTCTCTGTCTCCGTAGCCACAACTATCTTCTCATTCCTCCAGCCAAAATACACATACAGCAGGAAGGATGGTATGGCAAAGATCCCCATCAGCAGGGAGATCATTGAGGATGGACGCTCTCAGGTCACCTACAACACACAAGACCTCACCGCCAAGAATAAGAAGGTGAGCTGAGCCTACTCTGTGTTTACACAACGCATCACATGTAGCCTGCGAGGACCGTCACTGACTGAACAGTATGTCCCTCATCTGCCTCCATTGAATTTAGGACTATAAAGAAATGCAAGGAGACCTCTCCTACGGTCCTGGTGAGACTACGAAGATTGTTTACGTTCCTTTGCTTGAGCTAAGTGAAAAAGATGGCTTTTTGGAGGAAAAACAGGTAAAGCAGTTCATTATGGACCTCAGTAACCCGCGGCAGGGAGCCAAGCTAGGACGGTACCCAAGAACCACCATCACCATCACAGACGAACCAGGTAAATGACTGCCTAGAAGTTTTTGGATGATAACTGAAAGCTTGGGTACTGGCTTTAATTCAAACTGTTTGTTCATCTATTTTTTCACTAAAGAACCAAGTGTGATGATGTTCAAGAAGGCTACACAGAACTTCAGCAGGTTAGATCCGACCTACAGCATCCCAGTGGTGCGCTCTCGCAACGAAGACAGCCCAGCCACGGTGAAGTGGCGCACCAAGAAGGATCCGCGCTTTGATCTTTCTGGTATCCTGAAGTTCGCTCCAGGAGAAACGGAGAAGTACATAACGATTGACTCTAAAGCCCATCCTGGTCTGATTCAGCAAGATACCTTCCAGCTGGAGCTGCTTGAACCCAGCTCCAATGCTGCTATTGGAGAAAGGAAGAACACCATCGTCAATATAAAAGACGGGGGTGAGACACAAATCAGGAGACATTTGATGTATTCATAGCTCCATAACAACACCACATTAGTTCCAGTTTCTCTGAAAAGTATTCACACCCCTTGAATCACATTTTGGGGTTTTACATGATGGAGCAGTAAAAGCAACAAAAAATATAGATTTGTTATTATTAATTGATTTATTATCTTCACTCCCTTTATTTGTATGACCTTAAAATATCTAGAGCCACTAATTACTTTCAAAATGTCCTTACAAATTAAGAAAATATTAGCACTCAAGGTGAAGTAGAGTGGTGTCAGCATCATGCTTTGGGTGTTCTTTTTTATGGGGTTTAGAGGCTGATCAAATAGAGCTAAAAAGCTACTTTTGTTGGTCTCTTAGATATAATATATTAAACATTGGAAAAAACTCAAATGGTATGAATACTTCTGCAACCTACTGATCCAGTTTGATGAGCTTGCTCAGTATTGCTGCTTGACTTTGTTTCTTGGAACATTATATTCTTCCAGCAGTACCAAGATCTCCAGAAATAGCGCAGACTCAGTCGAAGGGCTACGAGAGCCCAAAGTGTGCCTCCCCTGGCGGTCTCCTTCTCCCTCCAGGGAACCTTAAGTCCAAAGCGACCGGACCCAAAAACATCCGTCTGAACTGGGACTCACTACAGAATAACATTCTGGGATACAAGGTATGCCTCACTGATCAGTTTCCATATCTCAGTCGCAGCTGCAGTCTCTGAGACTGTGTTCGAACGCTAGGTCAAGTATTGGATCTATGGCGACCCTGAGAAAGACGCCCAGGTTCTTGACGTGAAGACACCTCAAGCCGAGCTGACGAATCTGTACCCCTACTGCGATTATGAGATGCGAGTATGTGGCTATAATGCCTTTGGAGACGGCCTTGAAACCGATGTGGTTTCCTGTCAAACTCTCGAAGACGGTAATCACTGAGAAATCAAAGTTCACTGCTATGAGACATGAACGGAGAGAGACTGGTTCTCCAGTTTGGCTCTGGATCTAGAAGTAATGTGGTGTGCTTTGGACTCTGTTTTCCTGCAGTGCCTGGTGAACCCGGTCGTCTGGCATTTAACGTCATCAGTCCAACCGTTACTCAGGTCAGCTGGGCAGAGCCTGCAGAGACCAACGGCAACATCACAGCTTATGAGGTCATCTACACGCCGATGGATGATGAAATGAGTAAGACATTTTCCTCTAAATGGTAAAACCGTACTCAGATGTGTTGCATTATCCAGTCTGTTGTCTTCTTTTCAAACAGAACCTGTTGGAGCAGCCAAAAAGGTCAAGATCGACAACCCAAAGAAGCGGATGTTGCTGATAGAAAACCTCCAGAGCGCCCAAACCTATCAGTACAAAGTTCGAGCCCAGAACAGCGTTGGCTGGGGCCCCTTCAGAGATGCTACCATCAACTTGGCATCACAGCCTGCCAGACCTCTATCCAGTCAGTTTGCACCAAGCAAATTTGGGTTCTTCAATCTGGTTCAACTGGACGAAATTAACTCCTCCTCACTCCTGTCTGTAGTTCCCATCATTCCAGATGTCCCTATTGTGGATGCAGAGGCAGGAGATGAATATGACAGCTACCTGATGTACAGCAGTGATGTGATGAAGTCACCAACAAGCTCTAAGGCACCGAGTGTCTCTGGTGACGGTGGGTACCAAGAACCAAAACATCGCTTTTAAACTCAAAACTCCCTGAAATTCCCAATGTATTTAATTGCTGTTTTATATAGAGAGTCCAAAACAGGGAGGGGTGTGAATAAGAGCAGCTTCCCCGTCCAATCAGAAGTACATTTTTGCAGCATGATGCATAAAAGGCCAAAAGTACAAACAAATACTACGGTTCTCAGATTTGTATAAACAATTAAAATCATATCATATATACATTTTCCACTCAACAGGAATGCATGATAGTCTATCCAATAAATCCCTAATAAAAGGTTTGTGGTTATAATGAAAGCAGTTTAACTGATGGAATGCACTGCTGCATATTTGGCAAAATAAAAGCAGGCATGTGCCAGACTCAGGAAGTACGCATTTTCTGGAAAATTTTAAATCAAGTTGTTTCAGTTCACTCTCTATACTGAGGCTCTTCAAAACCCCATGTGGTAGAAAATATATGGGGGAAAAAAGTGTGCAGCAGATATATCCTGTAATCTTTATCTTTGTGTTGGTTTTGAATAAAGGCCAGGCATCGGCTCCCGTCCTCACATTTAAAGGCTCACACAGAGCGTCAGAACTGAACTCCTTCTCCTCATGGTTCTGCTTTTTTATTATCTCCATCTGGCAGACATAATAGCTGTAGACAACACTCCAAACTGGGAGAGCAACGAATCTTGTCCCGATGCGTCTCTGTCTATATGGCCTCATGCTTTACAATGACTAACCTCAAGCTCTCCATCCTATAGACCTCCTGTCGCTCCTGTTTATTATCTTTGCTGGTTACTTGTCCTCCTTTGAGACAATAAGGACTTTCCTAAACTAACATGAGATAAAGTAATTTGTTGTTCCATGTGTAGTAAATCAAGCCCTTCTTCCCTGCCAATCTATCCCTGCAATCGCTGCTTTTCTTCTGTGACCACGCAATCAAGGCTGGCAGTATGTCAAGTTGGTGGGGTCAAACCTGGATCTCCGTCAAGTGTCATGGAAAAAGCGAGTGGAGGTCATCCCCAGTCGGCTCAGCACAGACACAGAGATGAGCTCAGATGAGGTTCCCCACCCCGGCTCCTACCAGACGCCCCTGCCAGGTGAAGACAACCCCCCCCACAAGATCGACTGCTAAGACAGGCAGACAGCGAGCATGCCAGCTGCTATGCACGGCCGGTTACTTTGCCAATGGGGCATTGAGGTCGTTTCTCTACAGCTGCATTTCAGGCTTCAATCCTCGTCTGGTTTTTTGCACCTTTCACGTCTATTCTCCCACCGGCTGAACAGCATTGAACGTTGGCATCAACTGCCCCACCTCCAGTTGATGATCCAGGCTTTTTCAGACCCCTGCCCCTCTCTGTCCTCTCCCCATCTCACTTGAGTAGTGTTGATCTAGAGGAAGCTTCCTGCTGTGCTGTTGTGGTACGGAATGAAGAAAAAGTCAGTTCTGGTCAGTTCTTCAGTTTCAAAGATGAGAATTTCATCTGCAGCTACATTTGGCTTTTTATTCTTCTTCTTCTTCTTTAGTAGCATTTCATGAAACATGCAGAAACACATTCAGTGCCTTATAGATTTATTGTGTGTGTCCAACCTTGGTTGTTTTCACCACACAGTCACAAACATCAGCATATTTTATTGTGATTTGAAATGGACCAAGGAAAATTAGAGAAGAAACATTAAGGATGGAAATGGTAACAATTTCGACATCATTTTTTTTAAATTAATGAAGGAAGCAATGTGATGTACATGCATTTGATCTGCCCAGCCATTGAACCGGTTCAATCCAAAGTTGATATATACAGAATTCATGCTCACTTCAGAACTAAGTTTTGTGTTATATGGGGTAAATAGAAAATTCTCTGCAAGTCATCTAGGATTCTTCAGTGAAATCATAAATAATTACTACTTTAATAATAACTTAAAATCAATTTAATGTATATCTTAGTACATGTAAATATACCTTTTATGCAGAACATTTTTTGATAAAAGTAGGTAAATAATGAAAATGAAAATGTAAAGGATGTTTGCCCCAGAAATTTTGTCCCCTACCTTTTACTACCTTTTATCTAGAAATTACGGATAATTAAATATATGCATCTATTTGTTAGCAAAGGCTGTAGGAAAGTATAGTTTTTCTTTATTTAGAAAACATGGATGTAGTGGTTGTTCCTGTTGGAACAGTGTAGATTGACCCTGAGGTTCTGGCGCCTATCCTCTTTTGGCCACCCCTCAGTGTACAATAGCTTTTCACTGGCCATCCCTATTAAAATTTTCTGGCTACGCCTGGGTTGATGAATAATATGCTAAGGGAATGATGAGGCTCCAGTGACGCCAATATTCAACCGTGGATCCTTCAGAAACCCTAACATCTGTGTGGATGTTCTTCTTGTCGGACCTTTAATGAGACCAGTAGTAGTTCTCTTTTCTGTTTTATGGACCAGTGGGATTTTACAAAAAAAAGCAAAACCAGAATTTAAAGCGTTTTTTTTTCATCAGGATGTATTTCCATCCATTTATAAGTTCAGTAGTCTGGTAAATGCAAATATTGGAAACTACTTTGTTTCTCTTTTCTTTCGGTACCTCTGTAAAATTCTAACTGAAGGAAATGCAACAATCTTAAGAGATATTTTCTTCTTCCACATTACAAACATTTGCTATATCTCTGGTGCTCTTTGTGAAAACTTTAAGAGTTTAGGCTGTTAAGGAACCAACAGTGGCTCGCTGCTTTTAGGTGCTTCCCATCACTGGAGCTGTGGAATGCTAAAAATGAAGGATAGTGTGTAGAACCTGTGCTTTTACCTCTATGCTTTGTTGTGTCTTACAGATTACATGATGAATGGAAAGTGGGATCAGGGCTTCCTTTTCCCGGGAGGCTCATCAACGCGCAACCTTTCTGCTTCATCCTCTCCGATGTCCACTCTGAGCTCCAACTACAAGGGAGCAGGCGGTTCCTTCACCACAGAGACACACACCACCTACATGTCTGGGCCCGGTAAGGAAGATGGAGCAGGTACTGGTACTGAGAACCAGTTTGGAAGAACGTCATGATGTAATGCCTGCTCTGTTTCAATACGCAGGAAGCCCTCGCAGACACGAGATGATTGGAGGAGGGACGCATACAACGGAAGTCCACATGAGGAAGCGATCAGAGAACAGAGGTTACCCAGAAGAAAATATTCGGGACTCCATCGTCATGGGAGATGTGACGAACCAGTTCCCAGATCTGGGTACGTTTCCATCAGGCTTCTGTACTGATTTCATTGATTATGAGAATATTCCTCTTGTTGATCCTGGAGGCAGATGTTATGTTAATGCAAAAATAAGAAGAACAGGGAAGGTTACCTGTATGAATGCATGGACCTGACAGCTTGTGGACATTGGTTGGGGCTGTTGGCTGCACAGGAGGCTTATTTATTCAAACTTTGCAGGAGCTATGCTGACTATCGCTCTTTCTCTCTCCCTCCCATTTTGTCTCTTGCTCTCTGTTTTCCTTCTGTTCTACCTGATGCTTCGTCCCCTTGTTTATTTTCATCTTTCTTCCATTCCTTCTTCCTCTTCCTTCTGCTAAATGCGCCATCAGGTGGGTTCGGCTACACTGGGTTGCAGAGCAGCTCTCAGAACCAGTACAGCTACAGCCTGTCTCAGGGTTCCAGGGCCAGGACTCAGTCTTCAGAGGTCAATGAGGCCTTATACAGGCTGGACAGAGTGATCCATGGTAAGTCTCCCACATGCATGCATGAAGGCAGAGGATTTTCAAGAGCAAACCTTTTTGTCAGTGGTGGTTTTTGATACCGGTGGTTATGCAGGGTGGCATCAGCAGAGGGAAGCCCAGTCGCCACATTATGTTGCTTTTATGCATCTGCGGTCAATGGAGAGTTGGCATCTGCTGCTTGCTGCTGAAAAAAGGAACTATTTTATATTGTTTGTCAGCACAATGTTTTATGCTGCTCCATTATTTTAAGATTTTCTGCATTTTTATTGTTTGAGAAAGGGGAATAATTATCAGACATGTATAAAATAGGTCTGTACTGGAAAAAATTGAAATCTAGATAAGTCTTTTATTTTTTTTAAATAAGTCAATTTGTTCCTGGATTGAGGAGTTAAAAAAGACATTTTGCCAATGGAACAAGACAATTTACACTTAAAATAAGAAAACACAATTGCATTGTCTTATTTGAAGTGCATGTTATCTGATCTTATTTCAAGAGTAAAAATACTCATTCCATTGGTAAACTACCTCATTTACCTACGGTACTCAAATTAAGGGTAAATACACTGAATTTAAGAAATTTGTACATATTTCTAGATCGTTTTTTTCCAGTGTGGGTTTGCTGCGTTAAGATGGATAAAATGTGTGACATAAAGAATTAATTTAGAGAGATTATGATGTTTAAAATTGAAATGAACTGACTCTCATTAATGAGTCGTTTAATTTTGCGTCCAGACCTCCCATCACCTATCAGATCATGTGGTCTTTGTCCTTAAGGACATTTCAGTTAAATCAGTAATCATAATCTGTCCTATTTCATAAAATTAAACATTTTAAAATTGGTAACAGTTTATATATACATATATAAAGGTATGCTCAAACATAGTGCTTATGAATGGATTAATGCAAAGAAAATAACAGATTTCTAAGCTTTTCTCACAGATATATCTTATTTTGCTGTTTTTAACAGATGCTCGACTCTCTCCTGGTGTACCAGACACCCCCAGCAGACTGGTGTTTTCAGCTCTGGGACCAACTGCGCTTAAAGTTAGTTGGCAGGAGCCACACTGTGAGAAAGACATCCAGGGATACTCTGTTTTGTACCAGCTGCTCAATGGAGGTACGAATAATGCATTTGATTCCTGTTTAGTTTAAATCAACAGGTCATATCATCCATGTTCTGCACTTAGCAGGTCCAAAGCATTCATCAGTTTGTCTTCTGCAGGCGAGACGAAGCGCATCAATGTGACGAACCCAGCAGAGAACTCTGTAGTTATCCATGACCTGCTGCCCAACCACTCCTACCTGTTTAAGGTGAAGGCTCAGAGTCAGGAGGGCTGGGGTCCAGAACGGGAGGGAGTCATCACCATCGAGTCAGCCGTGGACCCTAAGAGCCCCCTCAGTCCTATGCCAGGTGCCGGCTCTGATTACCTACACTTTTATTTATAAACACGATCATGTATTCATTGTTACCATAATGGGTTTTGGTGCCTCTGCTCTGTCCAGGCTCACCGTTCACCCTGAGTACGCCCAGTGCTCCAGGTCCCCTGGTGTTCACGGCCCTGAGTCCCGACTCGCTGCAGCTCACCTGGGACAAACCACGTAAACCCAATGGAGATATCCTAGGCTATGTTGTGACCTGCGAACAGCTGCATGGTGGAGGTAAAATAAATGTTAAAAAAAAATCTATACTGTTTGCCATACATGTCTCTAATATCTCAGGGTGTAATTATCATTCGTTGTTTGTTTGGGGTTTTTTTTTTTCTAGGTGATTTGCGCACCTTCAAAGTAAACGGTGACACCGCAGAGACCAGCCTGACTGTCCCCAACCTGACTGAGAATGTTCCGTATAAGTTCAAGGTTCAGGCTCGCACCACGCAGGGTTTTGGTCCCGAGAGGGAAGGCATCATTACCATCGAGTCTCAGGATGGAGGTAAGAGATTATGAAGGACTGAAGTGCAGAAATGAGAAATTGTTAAACTGCAAACTCTCCAGAGAGAGAGTCAGAAGCAAAAGGAGAGTCATTGTAGCTCTATAGGAGCTGCAGAGATCTACAGCTCAGGTGGGAGAAGCTTTTGAGAGGTTGACAGTTATTCATAAGCCACTACATCATTCCAGCCTTTAAAGGGGAACGCCTTTTTTTTTTTTTACATTAGGCCCTTGATTTTACGTTATGACATCATGTTCTATTCACCCATATGAGTTTTGTGTTATTTGGAACTGTTCTGAAGATATTCCGTTAGGTTATATCCAAGTAACGTCTTCCTATGGGCAACGACTTGAAGGCACAAACTAAACTGTTCATAATTAATATTTTATGGTACACCAGCATTCATAACATGTAGGCGAATCACTGTCCCCCAGACATCCGCAGTTATATATTTTATATTTCTATTTTTTTTAAACAAAGCGGCGCATGTATGACGTCAAGGGCCCAATGTAAAAAAAATACAAAATTCCCCTTTAAAGAAAAATGGCAAGAAGGCCCCTATTGTTTAAAGAAAGACGGGAGAAGCATCTTATAAAAGATACAAATACAAGGAGATCTTGGATGAAAGTAACATCTTTCCTCCAGCTGAACATTAAGCCTAAATGTCCAAGCAGAGCTACAATCAAATGGTTTGAGTCAAAGCATATTTATGGGTCAGAATGGCTCAGTTAGAGTCCAGGTTAATTCAACATAAGATTATGTGGATAAACTGAAAAATTGACCATTCTAACTGAGCAGAAGCCAAGAGAAATAAAAAAAATTAGGTTTCAGATGTAGACAAACCCTAAAAGAAAAGCAGCTGTTATTGCAGTAAAGGTTTCCATGAGTGACTGGCTTATAAAGCTTTGATTTTCATATAAAAAAAAGTGGGCTTTTACACTTTAGATTCCACCTAAATGACAACTCTTTTGGCCCTCACTATGCCCTGTAGGTGCCTTATCTCAGTACAGCAACCAGTCGGTGACGAGGAGGGAGGTTTTCCAAATGCCAACAGAAGTCACCACCAGAACAAACGTCACCCACACCATGCTTAACGACCCATATTTCTCAGGTAAGAAAACAAAAAAATAAAAAAAATGGATCCCGTCTCCCTTTTGATCTGCTGTGTTCACTTCGTACCACTCTGCTGAACAGATGGGATGATGATGACTCAGCTCACGGAGACTGGAGGCATGGTGAGCCGTCAGGTGACCAGGGAAGTGGTTCAGAGGGGCGTCGTGGGAGGAACGACTGTCACAAAGAGAATGTTTTATGAGTCCTAAAAACTTGCTCCCATAATAGCAACTTCTAGACCAATCAGGAAGCCAAAGATTTCCAGAGCGTGTGCACATACATATCTGTGTGTGTATAGGGTAAGAGTGTGAGATAAAATAAGGTTTTTATCTTTGTTACAAACTGCAGCCTTAAAGCAACCTTTCCCTGCAGTTCCTGTTCTGTTATCCAAGATCTTATTAGGTCCTTGTTAAAATTGAGATGTTTCTAAGAGGCTCACAGTGTTCTTTTTTTGTTTATAAATTATATTATTGTGTGTTAACACATTTTTCCTCAATATATACACCTATTTCAGACTTCTTTTATATTTTTGAATTTGGTTCCTGCTTATTTACATCCACGCAAGACAAACCCAGAGGGAGTTTTTAAGACATGGGAATCAGAAAAATCGCATTTAAAATATCTGCACTTCAATACAGCTGTATTTTTTTATGTATTTCCTTTCTTTGCGTGGCTAATACGTGGCATATTTTTTATATTTTGCTTCAGTGGATTAACATTAGAAGAATGGAAGACATGATAGGGAGAGGATGGTTGAAGACAGAAAGATTGTATTTGCTTTTGCTTCAGGTTCTACTGTACTTTGGGTTCAAACTTTGAAAAGGCTTTTTTTTTTTAAAGACATTTTAGATCCTTTTCTTAATAAATTTACTGAATAATAATGAGCAGTGCATCAAAAAGACATCCAGTAAACATTTTTACATTTCACGTAATTTACATCTAAGCAGGTCCAATTTTTCTTTAGCATTTTTGTACATCATTTATTTTGCACTTAATAAAGATTTATGATAAAACACGACTACTTATCATTGACTCACTCTCATTTTACAGACAGAATCGGACATTTATAGTTCACTCAGATTTACCATCCTTACATTTTGCACAGAAAATAAACAACAGCAGGGGTGCATTAACAAGCTCATGCCTGGAAATGTTTGCAGCAGGCTTTAGAAGAAGCATCACGCAGAGATTAAGAGCTCACATGCGTCAGTCCAGTCTGATTATATCTGTGGAGGGCTGGCTGCACCGAGAGACTCTTTGACTTTAGAGTTGAAGTTATGAAAAATGTGCTGTATGAAAATCTAATCTATTATGTGTTGTGAAAAGAGCCATCAAAAATGTCTATTTTTTTTTACCTGACACTCTGTTTTACCTGACACTTTTTACCTGACAAACATTAATCTGTAAGTTACAAAGAGTCCATTTTACTATGTGTCCATGAAGGCAAAAAAATACGAAAACAATATGGATGAATGGCAGTTCTTGATCCTGATCTCATGAGGCACCTCAGCACAAAGCAGAGGGCTGCAGAGAGTCCGGGTGGTTACTGCATGGCATTCAGGTCCACAGGCACGGCCCGGGACAGAGGCATGGCTGTCGGACGCCTGCAGGTCGGATCACCAGATCTTTGACCACCTCCACGGTCCCAAACAGAGGGTACAGTTCCTCTGTGAAGTTTTCATTGTAAGTGTAGATGTGTGACCGCTTCTCCACATCGTAGAAGGACAGCTGGCCCAGCTCATAGTCCAGATACACCCCGACTTTTCTGGGCATCAGATTTTGGGGTAGAAGGGTAGCGGGCACGGTCAGAGCTTTCAGATCCGTGCCTCTCTCCAGCCGGATGGTCAGGTACCCCGTGTCTGTGTTCAGGGAGCGGAAGCCCTGCCTCACAGCGGATGCTTTGGCAACACCCAGACGCCAGTCTCTCTCGCCTACCTCCACTTCCCAGTAGTGGCGTCCGGAGGCGTAGGCCTCCTTTCCCACAGCACACCACCATCCGTCGAAGCGCCCCTGACAGGGTGGGACAACGCGGCGCTCCAGACCGCAACGCATGCGTTTCTCATCATCAGAGATGAGCAAGTTGGGGTTAGCAGACTCTGAGTCCAGGGTGATATCCTCTGTAGAGCCATGCAGCAGAGAAAAGCAATTAAAGGCTGAATTTAAACTACCTGTGATCAATCAGGTAAATGTTTTTCATACCTGATGCCTCGCAAATCCAGTTCCAAACTGTAAAGAGGAAAAAGACTCGTTACACCTGATAAATGTTAGAATCCAACTAGTTATAATCTGATGTTTAACCTGCTCAACCCTGCAAATAGCATTCATTTTATGGACTTCATGGAGTCTTGTGTTCACAGACTTATACATTTCCTTCAGTATTAGTTCATAATTGATAAGATTTTGTTTGTCTGGACCTGCAGCTGAGCCGATAGTTTTCCTCAATAAACTAACAGTAACTTGTCTAAAACAACCAGCAATACCTTGGTTAAATAAGCATACCGAAAGAGCAATATCCTTAGTTAATATACCAGCAACACCCTAACTACAAATATAACACATTTTGCTCCTTTAAATAGGAAACTACATAAATTTTGGATGGTATCCATTTGAGCTAAGTACTAGCACAAACACTAGCTTAGCCATTACTGAAGTCATCTTTGTCCAAATAAATATTGCTTAAAAAAGAAAATAAAGATACCCTATTAAAATAGACAGTATTCATCTAGGACAAGGGTCTTCAACATTTTCCAGGCCAAGGACACCAAACTGATGGCGAGATGGAGCGGGTACCCTCTAATTATATATATTGTATGAAATTGTGTTCTATCAAACTGGTCCTATAGTCACTATTACATATGGAGTAATGTAATGAAAGTAATTTCGCCCTGAGATTATTAAAGTATTTCTGATTCTGATTCCTTGCTGATGAGACAGGTGTTATGAATGAAACGGTGCCCAGCTTGAAAGAGCCCCTGTGTGTCGCTGAATGTGTGCATTGATAACTGAACACACTACAGTGTGTTGAAGTCATGTTAATGTGTAATCAAAAACTTTTCAATTAGTGGAAAAAAATTACAGGGGGGAATATAAAAAAAGTATAATCCAAATTTTTGTGACCCCCATGCGGTACCTCCAAGGACCCCCTTGGGATCGCGGAACCCCTGTTCAAGACCTCTCATCTAGGACCAGGAAGCACACTATCCTTCATGATATTTAATGGTGAAGGTTATAAAGTGAAAACTGTCAGGTTAACCTACCTGGTTGAGGTTCCTCTGTCATAAGCTTGGCTCCTCCACCAAGAACCAAGGGATAATCTCTTATTTTAATTCATAATACAATAAGCTGCTGGATAGTTCTCACGCATAATTATATAGTTGTAAAAAAAAAAAATCTTGATCATAGGATCAGGATTTTAGACATATTTGAATATTTTCAAATAGGAATGATCTCCTTTTTTAAAATAATTTTCAAATCCTCAGCTTACAGAAACGTCTGCTACAATAACTTGATTAATCATTTAATTGATCCACACTTCCCAGAGAGGCAGCCTAAATAGACAAATAATCTATGGGTTTTTTTCCCCTTTCCTCTTTCTATTATGTTACTGAAACCATGACTGAACTGCACCGGATCAATATGCCACATCTAGTCGGGAAAACATTAAACACCTCCTGGGGAAAAAAAGGGTTTCCGTTTTTTTTAGGTATATTTGGATTTTGCAATCAACATATCACATAAACCAGTCAGGCAACCTTTTCTGTTTTTTGGTTTTTGCTGAGGTCTCTCTTTTTTTTCTGCATCCTTATATGATTGTATTAGGATTTTTATTCAACAGTATTGACTGTAGACATTATTCCATTCGCTTTCACAACCCACATGTGAACTTACCACCGTGTGGGATGTAGCGGACTGCATCTGAAAGAAAAACATCAAAACATTATTTCAGTGAGACAACCCTAATTTGTTGTGGCTGTATTTTAGCAGCTTGTATGCAGAAGTTAAACAAGGATAGCTGCACAATGTGAGCATCCTGATCCAGCTTTAATTTTAGCTTTAACAGATTGGTTTCCTCTCGACTCACCAATCCTCTGGCTCCTCTGCTTTTTCATCAGCCACTGTTTAGTCACATCCTCCTACACACAGAAACATAAAGCGAAATCAGGCCAAGGTGAACTGGACAGTCAGATAAAGAGATTAGCATGACTTGATATCATGCAGCACACATACAGAGTTTTATCCCTCTTAAGAGCCTGTTACTACTGACCTGAAAACAGATCTGCTGTGTTTTCACTCTATCTGGCTCAGAATAAAACTCAGTAGCTACACATAAAAGCAGGATATAGAAAGAGAAACAAACACTGACACCCGTCCAGACCTTTATTGGGCTGTCAGCATTCAGCACAGCCAGCATGATGAGCTCCATGGCTGGGAGCAGGTTGGGCAGGCGGCCTCTCTTCCACTGGAATTCCAGATCATCCAACATCATGAGCACCGGCTCACCTGGCCAGACAGGAGCCTAGTGACAACAAACCAGAGACCAGGAATGCTGTTATCTTCAGATATGACCAGCAGATTATCAAGGTTTATGGTAATCATCTTGATCAGACACATTCAGGGAACTGGGTCAGACTTTAATCACTTTGACTCACAGCCTTTGTGTTGAGCATTCACCTGAGCCCTGCTTTTAATCTCCCGGGTCCAGTCCATGATGACCCGTTTGTACGGCCCCATGTCGTATTCGCCCTCTGACTCCAACATGCAGAGAAGGTGCCCCTTCCAGTCCCTCTTTGCTGGTTTTTCGTACTGGTACTCAGATGGCATGATCTTGTGCTGAACGAAAGACCAGGAGACATTTTTAGTATTTCGTTTTGGCTGGCAAAACGAGCGTTGACGCCTCGCTGGTACCTGCACCCTCTTTTCCAGCACAGCAGCCCAGTCCACGATGAAGTCTCTGCAAATGCTGGCAGACCAGATGTCCTCACCTGTCCAGATGTGGCTGAGGATGTTTGATCTCTGAGAAATGAAGGAATAAGAGTCAGCCTCTGGTTCTCCCTTAATGTCAGCTCCATATCCATGGAAAAAAGAACTAAACCACATTCTGCAGAATTAGTAGCTGCAAATTACAACTATTTTCAGTTGGTTTTCTTTGAATTTTAACCTTTTATAAATGAGAATTATGGTGGGAATAATAATTTCTCTTTTGAATCAAACCAATTTAAACATGTCATATTCTTTTATTAGACATTTTTGGGTGTAAACATGGCGCTACCCTGAATCTCTGGTTAATTAAAGTCATTATAGGGTGAGATTTTATGCAGGGCTGCACCTCAGAGGGAGCAAAAGGAAAGGCTCACCTGGCAGATCCTGTTCAGCTCCCGACCCAGCTCCATAATAAATAACTGACTTTCCACCAGCGGCTCCTTCTTGTCCTGCTTCACTCTCTTGCGAGATTCCTTGAAGAGAAGCAGAAGGTCATGACAGGTCGTTTGTAGGCAATATTTAGATTATTTTTTAGGGGAAAAAAAGCTAAAAAAATAAACCTCAATTTATGATGTTTACAAATCAAAAACAACTGACAGCATGGCTTTTGTTGTTTTGATAGTTATTCCCACTGCTATTGTCTTTAAAAATAGTGTTTTTACTACTATAACTGATAAAGAGAATGCTATATTTTCACTTTTATCTTTATCATAATAAAAATCAGAAATCATGAGGAAATTTTAAGTCCAGGTCGCCTATCCCGAAAGTTTATGCATGTGCATACAGGTCAGTGAAGGTCGGTCGTCCTGACAGCGGAGTGCCATACCT